CAATATAATTGTATCAAGAAATAAACTTAGTAATTAGCGATATAGGCTGATGAATCGCGAAAAAAAGCACACGCTAATAAAGCTTACAGGAAAAAAGTCCACGGAAAAAATTTAAACATAAATATGCGAACACGGGCATACATAGTACATTGTGTTATAAGTTTTTTTTTTTTATAAGCCTTCATAAAAATTTTTAGCTCAACAAGTGTTTTAAGTTATAATTTATATAGGTATTTATAAATTGTTTTATATTGAGTCATTAGACAGTTAACGACATAAATATAATATAGAAACTACAGTAAAAAAACATCATACATTTATACAAAAATTACACAAAAACAAAACAGGTGGTAGTGCCTATAATATTAGATGGTTTTTTGAGTCGAATACAAGGGATGAATGGATACACGCCAATGGAAATACTATTTTTTTTCTTATTTATCTTAGTAATATCGGCTACTAGGCCAATAGTTATTATTATTATTTATGATTATTATCTGTAATCTTTATTATGTACTATTAAGTATATTTGCATTATGCTTTTCCGAATTATAATCAACGAATTATTTTTAAATTAAAATAGTACAATTGTATGGCACTCGCATGGACTTTTATTTCCGTGGGTTTTTTATTCTCCTATAGTATAGGACCTATACCAAGGTGATTCCGCTCAGAATCGTTGCTTTTATAAAGAACCATAATTCAATAACTATTAGTTACATTTTTAATTTAATTTTTATTTGATATTCATACCTTAAAAGTTAAGATTTTAAGAAACATATTTTTATCAGAATTTCGGGATTAAATTATTTTGTATTATGTTTAATTACACAACATACGATACTATTATCTTATAAATAAATATTTATTTTAAAATCTAAACAGAAATGTTATACAAATATAAGATCAACTAGTGAGTATTATTATGTTTTGTGTGATAGTACCTATTAGATTTAATTGAAGAAATATTTGTTTTTTATTTATGCTTGTTTATATTATACTACTTATATATATTACTATATTATATGTACTTTGAACCTTACAACCAATGAACCAACACGTCAATAATAGTGAATGCATCCTGTATTCTAAACAATTATCATGAACAACAGTACCTACATAATTTTAAGCAACTTATGACAAGCAATATAACTATAATATGTTATGAAAAACCACAATAATAATTCATCGTAACTCAGGACTCAAATTAGGTTTATCCCAGCGCTATTCAATTAAAAAAGTTGGGACAAACGATGTAAAAACAAATTTCTACACATTTTATCATGCATTTATTTGTCAACTTTTATTTTATGAAATACAGTCAAAATGTTATGAAATATGTCAAGAAAAATATTTAAATTCGTTTTTACGTGCCACTGAAATTTGGACGGCGTGCCATAGGTTTGCCACCCCTGGTATAGGTAAAAGAATTTTTTTAAATCGGGAAAGTATAGTTTCAGAGATTACCTCCTACAAACAACACAATTGTACCACATAATAATATTAGTATAGATTTAAAACAAACACAAAATAATAAACTGACGTTAAAAACCGTCACACACACCACTGCCGAACTCTTTAACAGTGGGACTCTTCAAAATCTGTGACGGAACGGCGGCGTTTTATTACAACGATCAAATTGTAATCGAAGTATTGGTATAGACTAGATATCTAAAAAGCTAAAACCTAATCGTTACTATACTACCCATGTTTTATAAAATAGTTATAAATGAATGTCCTGCATAGGTACGAGCAAGGGCGCATTAAAGGAGGAAACAGCATATGACCCGGCGAAATGTTATTGGTGGCGGTAAAATTTTTTAATATTTTTATTTAAATACAACAAGCTTCTTCAGTCATAAAGGAACCATTAAATTGCATGATACAGGTAAGTAATGGAAAATACAGATTGGAGGCACAACTAATAATACAAATAATTATAGTTATAACAATATAGCTTGTTTGACTTGAATCGTATGCTATAGGTGTACATCAAAGTGCATATAATGTTATAAATACATATACAGAAGATTTGAATACATTATTTGTTGAAGAAGTTATTCAATTTAAATAAAATACTAAATCATTCCATAATAGTGATTTGTCTTGGACTGTTAAAAAAATTATCTAATGCTCCATTAAAAGTTACTTATCCTAATGGCCTTATAATTTCAAAAATATTTGCTTGCACGCCTTTCACATGCATAGTTGTCGACGATTTAAAAATGTATTTAAAATCCACCTAATCTCAAAATAAAACGGTTTCCCCTTCGTCTTTGTCAACGGAAAATTAAATGCTTATTGGAGAGTTTTATTAGACAAATATTATACAAATTTTGTGAGTAAAAAATAAGAAAAAATATATTTTAATATTGCTAACTTTTTTATTATTCTGCCATTAAATTTTTTTTAATATCATATTTTATTGTTAATAAAGATAAATTTAGTATTACAAATCAATGCTCAATACATAATAGACAAATAACTACAAATATAGGGATTACATACTAGATAATTGATTACAAACATTTTACATAAATATTACGATTTACCTCGGATTTACCGGAGTCTGAACTACTAAAAAAAGGATTATAGTACCAAATAGGTAGATAATTATCAATTAGTATAACAACAAATTTATTTCTAAGTATTCATAATATTGAATGAAATGAAAATGAAAAACTGTGATGCGGAGTGCAGAGGGGACTTTTTTTTATGTTTTCCGTGCTTTCATATAAATTTATAAATAATACATTGGGGGCGAAAAATATTTTTGCTTTTTCCATGTATTTTATTAACCTTTGATGCACCCCTGGGTACGAGTGTACAATCGATATAACATAAGAAATCGGAAATAAATATATAAATCATACGTACATTTTTGTACAACAGTAAATACTACAGTAATAGTACAGTAATTGCGAGTAATAACTATATAAAAAATAAAACCACTTTAATGTTTTTTGTAAATACTTTGAATGCAAAAATATAAAATTCTGAGTGGAGTTACAATGATGAGTTCTATCGTTATTTTTAACACCTTCACGAACAGTGAAGTTTTTTTTCTATTACTGTCAATAAATAATTTTTCATTTGGTTAAAAAACTTTAAAATGTAATACTTGGTTCGGTATAAGTTGTTAAGAGGATGCTACCCATGCGTTTGTTGTCTCCGTCTTAACAACTTACGACAAAACAAATTTTCGTTTAGTAGTTTGAATAGTATGCCGTTAGAGTAAATTTAAGAATTATCAAACTTTTAGGTAATAACATTATCTATGCTTAAGCGTCGGCGGATTTTCGATATTGGATATTCACAAGTAAATTAATGAATTCGCGTCAATCGATTTTTCATATGTTGTAGTAATTCAAAGACGAATAACTGTAGTACAGTTAAGGTATACCGTATACTTACGTAAATATTAACAAATAACATTAATTCAATGTTCGTCAAAACGTCAATAAGTATTATTTTTATTATCATTAAATAATATTTATCAGTCTAACGTTCATGAGAAGCGTTCGCGTTTTAGTGAAAACCACGAATTAAGATTTGAGGTATATTTAATTAATAATTATATCTATATAAGTATATATATTAGTATTCTTAATTTATGTAGGTATGAAATGTATAGTAAATAATCATTTCAGCGTAATATATATGTAATAAAATTAACATAAATATACGTTTACTTGAGAATGTAAGTAAAATATTTTTTTAAGAAGAGGCAATGCTCATTTTGTCATACACTTGTAGGTACATGTTTGTTATCTTAACGTGTAACAAAAATTTATTTTGAAATTTTAATATATATTTTAATTAAATAGGTTATATAGATTCTTAGTTACATAATTAAACAGTAAACCAAGTGATTTTTATGTTTGACAATAGGTTAATAATTTCGTAGAATATTAATTATAAAAAATAATAATAATAAATGGATTATATCGAAAGTACAATTTATAACATAATACTTCACAAACACGAACAACTGACGCCTCGTTAATGACGTATTCGAACACCGCTGTTCACATGTTTTTTTTATAAATATTTTCTATTTCTGGCAATTTTTTTTTTAAATTGATTTGTGTGAGTGCTAAATTACAGCAAGTGAAGTCCACAATAAAAATAACAAAACGAGCGGTTGGTTTGACATAAACGTACGAAACGCATAATATCCATCACAATATGCCCGTCGAATTTACCGGAAATCGAAATAATTAATTATTTTTAAATCATAATATTACAATATTATACTTAAACGATGTATCGATGAAAAGTACGATTTACGGAGAAAAGAGGATTCACCAGTTTATTTCAAGTAAAAAATGAATTGAAATTTCGTTGTCCAAATAATCTGGCGATCTTACTAAAGGTATATTATTTTTAAGAATACGATAGCATAGATAATAACAATGTTTATAAGTAAATAATAATTGATAGGTACAGAACTACAGAAGTATTAACTATTAAACAAAGTATTTATATTTTCCGATTATTTCACCGATTTTGATGTACGGCGATCAATGAGATAATGAGTATGAACTATGAATAATGATCGACGGCGAATTTCATCGACCACAAACAATCGAAAATTATATTATTACTCTAACCAGTCTAACGTAAAATAAGCCCGCGAAATAGTCTCTACTCGCGCGTCATAATATGCTTCGAGGCACTGATAAGGTACAAAGAGTCTACCGTCATGATTGTGAGTGGATGATATCGATTATGGAGTATTGCCGACAGCCTACTTCCATAGATAATATTAAAATAGTATATGTTAGTAATATAATTGACAGAAAGACAGTCCGCAACAACCGTATTTTGTATATATGTTATACAAGATATCATGATGTTAAATCGTTAACATTCAAACGTTTCCGTCTTTGCTAATCACTACTCGATCGCGGCGGCGGCGAGAAAAAACGAGATCGCCGTCGCCGGTAGATAGAATCGACAATCAAACAAAAAAATGAAAACAAATTATTGTATCTTACCTTGATAACACGCGTATGTTGTACGCGCGTAGCGGTTCTACAAAAAGCTTCGCCGAACTTAGTTCAGCCATAAAAAATCATGATTTGTAAAAAAACCGTTGAAAAAACAATATTCAAAAAAGAAATCGGTGTCTCAAAATAATTCAAATTGTAACGATATCGTCTCGGCGGCGCTGGAGCGTAATTGAGTGTCGTCAAAACAAAGGTATAAATTCGAAAAATAATATAATCGTGCACACGGCAGTTCGCCGGTCAAAAAGCACAACGCGAACGGTCGGACTAACACAAAACGTATCGGTTCCGCGCGCTTCGCTGTAACACTGTGCACGTAAATGTCGTAAATACTAATCCGGCGGGAAGTCCAACATTACAGCACGGCCCGGATAGTGGATAATAATGATCTGAGTTTCTGTACTCTAAGGGATTTCGTCCTAGTCCAGACGTCCGCCGCCGCCGACGCCGAATCCCCACCCCAAAACATACACGCTCTGGCGCCTCACACGGGCGCTCTCTCTCGCACCACTACGAACGTGGAATGACGCAGTACGGACTGCGGACCAGTATTCTTGCCGCGTGGTAAACACAGGTTGCCGCCGATACGGCGCGGCTGGCTGCAGCTGCTCGGAATAATAATAATAATACACGAGAATCCATACCTGTGGGCTGTGGTATCGTTCGGCAGCAGCTGCGCTGTACCTAAATAAACAGTTGTTGTCGCTAAGGATCTGTTTGAATATTATTGTTCAACGGTTTGGCCGTCGCGTCGCACAATCGCGGTCGATAGTTAGCCTCTCTTACGGCCATACGGTAACCACGCCGGCCGTGTACAATATATTATTATATTATGTACGTTTACCGCCGCCATTGAATAGTATGATATGATAAAATAGTAAACGTTCCCGTCGGCCGTATTCGTACGAAATAGTACTATAACGTTATTGACGTCATCCAATCTCGCTTTAATACACCAAGACACACAGAATTATTATAATAATAATATAATTATGGTATAACATTTCGTAATATTATGTAATGTGTACAATACCGACGTTGAGTTCTACATTTTCGTTTTAATTTGAATCGAACGTTAAACGCAAGGTTCGTTATCGTTTATCGTGATGGTACATAATATGTGTCACGTGTAAGCGTTGCGTTATTATCGACCTCGAAACTTGTACAAATCTTAATACAATATTAATATTATATGCATTTAAAACGAACTATATTCTTGTGTTCGATAAAATTGTTACTACTTACATTTTGTTGAGAGATAACTCATTTTCATTCCGTTAGTGGTTCTACGAATTATGACCTTTCGGAACCAATCGAAAAGCAGTATTATAAAGTAACTCAACTTATTGATCTGTGTAAAATATTAGTTATGACTATAAGTTGATGACTAGAACTTGAAAATACCTCTAAATATACATTATTAACTATACATTTTTACTTCACTAAATAGTATCAAAAATTCAAAAGTATTCTCATTAGTAATATTATTAATTTATGCTGTATAAAATGATTTTATTAATTTTATGTAAATCGATATTTATATGTTCAGACTTCGGGTTTTTTTAAGGTTATAAAAAAAAAAACGAAAATGTAATCAATTTTCTATTTATTTTTGTATGGTTAATTTAATAAATACTAATTACTACCAAAATTAGTAGATGTATTAATGTGCAACATTTTGAGATTAAAATTAATAAAAGCAAATCGGCGGTTCATAATTTCAACTATAAATGTCCGGCAGACGAGGAAAACACATCCCTCACTAATTTCTTTGAGTATTCCTTTAGGTATGCACTACATATTTTTTTTACTAATTGAAAGAATAATTAAAAAAATTAATATAATATGTAGAATATGCAAAAAAAATGTACTTCTGGTATTATGAAACAGATTTTTATATCGCTATGCTATGTTTCAAATTAATAATAAGAAACATGCTAAATCCTATAAGCTCCTATCGAGTTCACTCGAGAACTAAATAATAAGTTAATAATTTGATTCTAGAGTTAAATTGCTTACAGTCTTACACCATAGTTCATAGAGAAAGTATGTTTAGGTATTACCTTGGTAAGCAGTGTTAGGAAGGAGGTAATGACTTAAGATATATAGAAAATATTTAGGAATTAGGACATTGATAGAAGAAAAAACTTAACACGCTTATAATTTATAAAGTTTTACACTTTGTATATTGTTGTAATAATTATGAAATAAATAATGATAAGAAATAATAATTTAATTTAATACTAAAGTGAGAAAAAAAACATATTACATTTTGTAATTATGGAGATATAACTTGTGTGTTGTGAATTAATGACAAATGTAAACAAAAAGAATGTCTCAGTCGAACATAACAATTTACATATTTTCAAAATAATATTGTTATAATACTATGTTTTTAATTATATATATAATATATTTGTAATTAGGCAATTTGCTTATCTTAAAATTAATAATTATAAATAGGTTAAACATAATTAGACTAAACTAATTATAAAATCCAATTTTGAACACAGCATAGAATTTTGGCATTCTTCAAATGCAATCAAATAACTGCTGCAACAATAAGATAAACATTTATTTTAAATTAAATTAAATTAAATTAAATTATATGAAATTCAGAAATCGTTATATTATAAAAAACGGAAAGAATTGTTCTAATATGCTATATTATTTTAACAACATAATAATACTTAAATGAATATTAAATAATAACAACTTAAATAAAAAAAATAAAAAAAATAAATAAATAAATAAATAAATAAATAAATAAACTTAAATTAACTTTGTTAACAACTAAAATATAAATGTCTCTTAATTACAACGAATATTATGTAATTATTATGAATCTTCATAAATTAAATGTACACGTTAACGTACAAAATATAATAGTTTATTACATATTTTATTATTTTAATTAAAATATGTTGAGGAACAAATCGTATGATGTGCACAATACATACGTGTATGTATATTATGCAATAATTAACTAACTAATTAGTTATTACCAGAGCAATAATAAAGAGAAATGTTTTCTTGAAAGAGTACATTATATAAATCCAAAGGTGGGCATTAACTAGTTAAAAAGTTAATTTTTTTAAAACGTTTAAACTTAACCAGTTTAATTGGCAGTCGAAATAAATTAGCTCTGCACAGTTGATTTAAAAAAAATGATCTATCAAGTATAAACAATTTTTGAAATTGTTCGTTTATACGTAAATATTAATATAAAAATAATCCAATAATATAATAACACATACATTTCTGTTATTTTTCTTAATAAAATAATTTTGCACATGAATAGATTTTAGTAGACCATATAGATATTAGACATATACAATATCATTTTACTAATATGTTTCCAGAACAAATAATAATTATTGATAAGAAAAATACGGCCAACAACCAGATTCTGGAAATTGGAAAAAAAATGCTAAAAATAACTAGAAAATTAAATTATCGTATAAGTACAGTAGTCGAAATGACTCAAGATAAGTGGAGGGATGCCTTACAATTCAGGTTTAGGCCTATACGAAAAATAAAAAGTTTTCTTATACATAGGTATAAATATAAAAATCATAATAATTATTTCATTTTAAAACAAAAGTCTTCGGAGGAATGCGTTATTCTAGACAAAATAAGTAGAGGGATGAAAAATGTAAATACAAAAAAGTAGAGGGATGTCATCCCTCCGTATCCCCCCTCCCCCCCACTTCGACCACTGTATAAGTATAACTGTATATACACGTCAAATATTATGATATGCTGTTAATACTTGTAAGTTGTAGACAATATTATTATAAACTATAGTGTACTTGCAATTGTCTTGAATTGACTAAGAATTTGTTTCATTAAAACTACAAATTATATAAAATGATATGTATAAAGAATTTTAACTAAAAAGATAAATTTCTTTTTTTTTTTTAATTTCAATAAGATATATACAATCTGTACCCGTTAGACACAATAAGAATATGTGATATAATATTTTGTACATGAAATCGTGAGGGAAGAAGCCAACCAGTGAAGGCACTACCTAATTGTATTTATATATATATTTTTTTATTTTTTTTATTTAATTATTTGGATTATTCATTTAGTAATTCACGACACCAATTTCTTTTTAGTCGACGTGTTGGGTTGCCTGGAATTATGCGAGAAGCTAAATTGGATATAAGGGGATTAGGATGATGTGGAAGTCTGTTGTGAAATCTTTTGTAGTATATTATGGCTTCAGCATGAACAGTTTTTATGTTTAGATCTGTGTGCAGAGAGTAGTTGGAGACATATGGTGGGGCTTTAGTGATTAATCTTAAAATTTTATTTTGAACGGTTTGGATTTTATTTACATTAGTTACTTTTGCATTGCCCCATAATTGTAGGCCATAAGTCCACATGGGCTTGATTAATGATTTATATATGAGAAGTTTGGTGTTTAAATTAGTGTGCTTGTTAGATATTAGTGGTTTAACTGAGCGTAGTCGTTCGTTTAGGCCGAGTTTTTTAGCTTTGATGTGAGGTCCTCAGGTCAGGCGACGGTCAAGGATTAGACCTAAGTACTTAACCGATTGGGATGAAGGGATTGGTATGTTATTAAGAAAGATTTCTGGGCAGGGAGGGAGACGAAGAATGAATGTAGAATGAATGGATTTTGATTGGTTTACTTTAACTCGCCATTTATCATACCAGACAGACATTAGGTCAAGGTGGTTTTGAAGGTTTAAAGAAGCAATGTGAGGGTCTTTGTGTACTGATATAATTGCCTTATCATCCGCAAATTCAGCTACAGATGTTGTTGGAGAAGTAGGTTGGTCTGCTGCATATACATTGTATAGTATAGGTGAAAGAATGCCACCTTGAGGGACTCCTGCGCTCATTTTTTCAATATTTGAAAAGGAAGAGCCAAACTTGACTTGGAAGTGACGATCCGTAAGGTAAGATTTAATGAGTAAGAAATATGTTGTGGGAAGAAAAGCTTTTATCTTAAATAGTAGTCCTTCATGCCAAACCCTGTCAAAGGCTTGTGAGACGTCAAGGAACACGCACGAGCAGTATTTTTTCTTTTCAAGAGAGAACGAAATGGCGTCGACTAGTCTATGCAATTGATGAGTTGTAGCATGAGAGGCACGATAGCCAAATTGCGTGTTTGGAATTTTGTTGTTTGAAAAAATGTATGGCAAAATTCTTTTAAGAATAAGCCTTTCAAAAATGTTTGCGAAAAAGGGCAAAAGATTTATAGGTCGATATGAAGAGAGAATATCAGGTGGTTTTTTTGGTTTTGGAAATACAATTACTATTGAAAATTTCCAAAGTTGTGGGAAGTAAGCTAATCTTAGGGAGGCATTTATCAGAACTGTTAGCAGGACAATTGCTCTTTTTGGGAGGCATTTGGCAACTTCCGCAGTTATTAGATCATAACCAGGGGATTTCTTAAGGCTGTAGTTTTGAATTGCATTTTTAATATCGTTGGGAGTAAAAGATTTCGATGGAAGAGTAGGTGGAAGAGGGCTGTCAAGAAATCTGTTAACTAAAGCTGTGTGATGGGGAATTTGTATATCAGAATGTGGTGTGAAGATTTTTGCTAGGTGATTTTTCAACAGTTCAGCTTTATCAGCGTCTGTAAAAGCTAATCCACCGGACGGATTTATTAGTGGAGTATTCGGAGCTTGATGTCGCAGGGACTTTTTTGTGGCTTGCCAAAGATAAATAAGTATGATAGTGAGTGGCCCCTTGATGTACAATGTGAATGTCATAGTATTTTTCTAACACTTCAGCGCAACTGCTATACACTATGATAAAAAATTCAATAAAATTGATTATTATTTATTATAATTTAGGAAATTAGATCTTTCTCAAGAACGTAGTCATTCTTAATTGTGATCTACATACTAATTTTAAATAGTTGAACAACTTTTCTTCAAACTGTGTTAGGTTAATATTTTTTTTCGTATTTAACTTATCGAGTTATTAATATAGATATTTTCTCTTTGATGACTATAACGTCTATAATCTGCCTATAATATGTATCTGCACAACCTGTTTCTGTAATAATGCAGTACGTTGAGTGAAATATTTAATATTATTACATATAAAGATCTTATAATAAGACTTCTAATATGATTGAGGTAAGAATATTTTGAAGACTTGATAAAGAAATAAAAGAAATAAATGATATTTTTACTTTTCTTACTTTTGTAGTTTGTACATTGTACCTAATCTCCTGCATCAAATAAGCAGGTTAGGTTTAGTACCTAGTACCTTCTAAATACAAATAATATTTCAACAATATTAAAATGTACTTTGTGTTCTATTTGTAATTTATTTTCTCATTTTCATCAAAACTCATTATTTTTCAACTTTACTGATTTATGTTCTACTTGTGCCCTCCCCTCCTCTCAGCTAGATTATAAGACAATTGTCTTTTCTGGGACCACATATAAATTAAATAAATAAGGTCGAAGGTTATTATTTTTTAACATCATTGATAAATATTGTAACTTACGAATAGTGAATAGGTATCTTAGTGAAAAATGTGATTAAAAGAGTATGATATACAAATTTCTTATTACAGGAATAGAAAAGTGTCTAAATTAAGTACACTTTTCAAGTTTCAATAACAAACTAACACATTTTTTAATTTAAGCCTGAAGGATTAAAAATAACAGTGTATTACAGAATAATAAAAAAGGACATACCAAAAGTTATATGAAATGTTACCAACTACAATAAATTGATGGTTCAATCAAGAAAGCTTTGAGATGATAAATGCTGTTGAAATGATATCAAATTTAGAATTTCACCAAACCATCCTTAATGAAATATTACAACGTTCATTCCAAATCCCATAAAGAACTTTTTGGGTGATATTAATATTTATAAAAGTATTCAAAGTGTTCCAAGTGGCATATTAGCCAAATTAGTGCATAATTTGCTAGATTTTTCAAAAGAAAATAGTTATAGGTGCCGTGAGAGTCTTTTCTTTGTTATCTATTGTAAATACATAATTTACTACTGTAGCGTAAATTACATGATGTAAATTGCTACTTTCCCCAGACACTCACAACAAACAACATTAGATGGTTTAAAATGTTTCTCATATACAATGAAATGTACTTTTAGTGAAAACCCTTTGGCTTTTTCCTAAATATCTTGGCGATTTAGGGAATGCCAATCCAATTTTAGTATTATCACTATCATAACAATCAAGAACATAATATTTTAATAAAACTAAACAAATAATGGATAAACAATCAATCAAAAGTAGTAATTAATTATTGTAATTTGTAATTTCTCTTACAAAATAATACAACACAATGTATAATACTAATACCTATCTTAAATTTGGCAGTTTAAGAGAACACCACACGGGCACTTATTGTCTCCACCTTGATACCCTAGATGCCTTAGATAATAGTCTTTAATTTTAATTTTATAATGGATAAATTCACTCTAATATCAAAACTAACAGCACACTATTGAAACTGGTGTACGAAATTTTGATGGGTCGTACGACTGTGGAGTGTAAGACGGAGACAACACATGTAGGTGCATCAAGTATAGATCATGATAAAACAAAAATATGATGGAAATTTCGAGTAGGTACTTATGGTTATTCATTTGTGAATTACTACAAAATAGGAAAATCACTTCATGAGATATCAAGTGAATATCCAAAGGTGTAAAAATTGCAACTTCAAAAGCTCATAAATATTTATTATTTGTCCGATAGACATTTTTTTTCATTAAATTTTCAAATTGTAGATATAAAAGGAACGATATTTATGAAGTTCTACCTCAAAATAATTTGCATTTTTCGTGATTTTTACGAATGTTGTCAAAATATTAAAACTTTCTAAAATACAAACCATTGGGGGGGGGGGGGGAGCACCTTGTAAGTAGAAATTAACAAAAATATGGTTATGACTTAAATAGTATTAACACATTTTAGTAGTGAACAACCCTAAAACTCCCTTGAATCAGTTGAGTATTTTTTTAATCATAAGCATCAACCATATGCGTCTTCGAAGGGGGAGGGGAACATGCTCCCCCATAACAATTTTTAATGTACTGTCAACAAAATAATGATGATCAAAATTGTAATTTATAGGTTCGCCCCCCTTGAAAACTGTCTAGGGATGCCCCTGTTTTTCTATATATAACCGCTGTAACCATTGGCTTCTATTCTACACAATTACAACCAGTCTAGGATCCCAAAAAATATGTGTGTACAATTTTGGGGCTAGTGCCTAGTGGATTCATTTTGACCAAAAAATGAATAGTCTGTATGGGCAACGTTTATTTATACCGTTTGGGAGAGTGAAATTATTTTTAAAAAACCGTCACTGTCGGCATCACTGTCTTTATGAATTCGAGCCAACTATAATTGAAGTGGATATACTTAAAAATACAGAAGAACAAAATTAATAATAGTAAACTAATATAGTTTTTTCTCTATGGCAAACAACTACTTCAAAATTTCAAGTCTTATTATGAGAAACTAATCGAATACATAGTATAACTGTGACATTTTATTTTATTGTATTGGACAGGTGGTACAACTGGAGACAGGTGGCGTGTCGCCAATGTTGTATTACTATTTTCGTAACTTCTATTTAATTATCTTTTTGAACTCTTCTAAGTAGACGACTCATTTTCACACCATACACTATTTCGTTCAAAAAAAAAATCAGTCAGATCGGTTGAATAGAAGACATTCAGACTTAGTTTTCCAAAGAAACCATAAGTATAAAAAAATGAATATAATATATAGATAATATCACGGATTTGATTAATTTAACTTTTTGGTGTGCAAACTCAATGCCAGTCACCGGAATAATTTTTAATAATGTCATATCGCCATCACCAGTAAAATTGAGTTAACCTAAGCAGGTTCCAGGCTTTTTCAATGTGCCCATTCTATTTTAATACCTATTCTTAATTCGGTGCATACATGATACAATCAATATAAGTAACAAATATTTGAAATATAAAATAGAAATACTTAGTCTATATTTCAGACTATTATTGTCTGCAAAAGTGTTGGGCACCATTTACAAAACTTTACCATACCAAAATTGTGGAAATGGGAAATCTATATTATTAATAGATATTACCTCATTAATAATTACTAATTAAAAATTAGTACCTATTAAGTAATAACTCTTAAATTAAATATTCACTAAATGTATTTAATTGTTGTATAATAATTTAAATTTAAATTTTATTATGATTTATTTTAATCATTATACCTATAAATAACTATTGCTTAACAAAATAAATTAAATAAATAACCAGCAAATATTTTAGTATACAATAAAATAAAATAATTTTACCTGCATAATTTTTTTAGAAATATATTGAATGTTTTTTGATTAATTATATTCATCTTCAGTTTATGCATCATTGGTTATTATTGTGTGTCGTCATACATTTTCTGACCAATCGAACTTAATATAACTTGAGCTTCTCTGACAGAATTTTCATCAATTGTAACCTTAAGATTAGCTGGTTGTTGTGCTTGTTGAAACTCCTGTTCATATGAAGTAAATTTTCTTTTTTTATTAAGTGGTTCTTCTGGCATATCTTGGTATTCTGATTGTATTGGACGTTGCTTCAAATAACTATTGATATCATCAGTTGCAAACTTAATGCTAGCTGAACGCTTCCTGTTGTCATATGTTAATATTTTTAACAGCTTCTCAACATCTGGGACGTATGACCATTCAAAAAGAGTTTGTATACTTTTATATGGCAAATTTCTTTTGGTAATACTAAATAAAATATACTCCACCAAAATAAGACTATAATAAAAACAATTATTCCATACCATAGGGATCCATTCCATTGCCATTTTATTATCATGAGACAACAAACACCTTTTAATAAAATCTGTAAAACCAAAGAAACTATAATAAACGTCACGTATTGACATTTTATAAGTATCAACAGATTTACGAAATAAAATGTTCAATAATGTCAAGAAATGTATGATTTTGTTTGCAGTCTGATCTATTTCTTGTAATAGTTCCTTAAGCAATATTTGAATAACACGTATTTCAGGACTGTGCCACCTATAATTGATTTTATGGAGTCTTTGTAAGTTACAATTGAATGTCTTTTTTATTATGCAGACCAACTTCTTAAAAGCATCAGTTCTGGAGAGATCAAATTTGAAAATAATTTTTTGCAGTTTCAAAAAATCTTTTGTATTTTCATAATGATAATTGTCAATGGTTATTGGGGATGCTGCACAATCAACTTCAGTTGTTGGTTTCAAATGACTAGCTTGTTCAGAATATGAACATTCTTGAACATTATTAGATGATGAAAAATTGGCAGTCTGAATTTCAACTTTGGAGGATGATGCTTGAATTGATTCATTTCTACTGATTTTATCGAACATTTCACTAGAATCAGTAGAAATGAGTTTATTATCATTAGGTAATTTTTTAATATTTGATGTATCACATAATTTTTGGTCTTTGAAAATAATGGGTATTTTCAGCGATTTCATTGTAGAACTATTGGCAGCACGTAGAATTGAAAATTTAATTCCATTTGGAGTAGGAGTAGAAGTAAAAGAAGCTTCAGATTTATCATTATCACCACAGTGTTCAGCTTTACTTGACATTTTAGTACCTGGAAACATACAAATAATTCATTATTTAAGGTATTCAACAATTATTTGTTAGAGTTTTTAATTAATATAAAAATTAATAGACATTCAAAGAGTCAAGCTAAAAAAACCAACCAATATGACAAATGCTGAAATGACATCAAATCAGACTTAATTTTGTATAAATAAACATATTAATTTAACATATAATATAACAACATAATTATATGTTATTGACATATTCTAAATTTGTATTTTTAAGAAAACGTCTTAGGTTTGTTGCAAAATTATCGCTTTCTGAGCAGAGCAATGAGTGTAATGCTTTTATAATGACACAATGCTGATCTCAGGCGGTTTAGGTTAATATCTGGTAGTAAACCGGATGTAGTTTGAACTAATGGTACTATTGAGAGGCCATAAGTAAAAATTCACTTGATATTTTACACAAAACCAGTTTTTGTCAAAATCTTTTGTAGTAGTTCAAAAATAAATAACAGTAAGGATTTGAAATTTACACCGTGTACTCATATAAGTTTTTAATACCTATATATTTTCAAAATTATTGTGCTCTTATTGTTATTTAGAAATATATGAAATTTTCAACATGTTTTGGTTTTTTTTTTGATTTATGAATCATAAAGATGTAGTTGGTAAATAAAAACCCTTAATAATTTAAATTAATATCCCTTGTATTATTTTCTTACAGCACCTAAAAATATTGTAAATTTAAAATGGTGGTGTCCACTCTTGGTACAAGAAATATTCCAGGAAGTCAGAATGGCTATTCATTGACTAGTTCTACCAGAAGTAGACTCAAGAGAACACCAGGCTGCTTGAATGGCCCATAAAACTGTCGGAAGAGAGAACTCCATAGGTTATTCTGGTGACATTCCACGGCTCTTGGTTGTCTACATTGTCCGCAGTCACCACAATAGTATAATTTAATTTGAGAAATAATTGGAAAAAATTCAAAAGATAATTAACAAAAACCATACTCTATGGAGTTTGCCTATGAGACTCGGAGATAAACTAATTATCACTGTAAGGTATGAGATTTTTTTAAATGTATTATACTTTTACAAATTTGTAATAGTTTATAAAGTTTTAAGTGTAAGACTTAAATTGTGACACAAAAAAAGTAACTGAATACCTATTTTAAAAAATATAATTTTTCTTACGATTATTGACTGTTAACACATTAATAATATTTAAATTGATACACAACCTAATAAAAAAATATTGAAAAATGTAGTTGATTATGGTTTTGTTGTAATCATTTGTATAAATTGAATGAAAAAATTGTTTAAATTATTGATAGTGATTCAATAAATTAGGTAGGAGGTATCCACTATCTATACTCATTTATTAAGTTAATTTTATGTTAGGTTTTTTTTAAGGAATTACTAGATACCTAATATTATTTACACACATTCCATAAGCTATGATACAACAACTGCATAATAATCACAATTTTATGTCATAATATGGTATCAAGTATAAGTTACATTTATACCAATTAATTAGACAGAACACAAATATTAAAAATAACAGCCTTAACATAAAGTAGTTTGTAGGTGTATAGGTAATGTAGGTAGGTGGTGTATACAGAAAACTTTGGCGAGGCCCCATAATTTATTGTGGGATAAAATCAATAAGATTTCCTGTCAATAATACTATGAAAAGCAGAAGTGTTGATAAAGTTTAAGTTTTGGTAAGCTTTGACTTGGACTGTATTTCTGTGACTATGTCCTAATTATCAGTCATCACTAGGGCTAGGGTTTATATTTAAAATTTTAAACACATATTTTTACTGTTTACTTGATAAATTAACTTAAGGTAAGTGATAAATTTGTTTCAAGTGATTTCCAATGTAATGAACTTTATTTTATTTTACATGTTTTTACGTATTTTGCCATAAGTATATATTTTTACATATTTCTCAATAATTCCGTTTTTCCTACATATTTCGAAAATTTGTTCATATACGATTTATTAATAATTAAATACGATTATATTTTTCAATACAGACAAATTCCCATGTTTATAAAAGTACACAAACCGACCAACTATCATATTGTGTTTGACATTTATGACTTCGATAAATAATAGATAACGATTTATTAATATATGTTAGTGTTTGAACTAGAAACAAGAAAAATGACTTTAGTTCAAAGTTTAGGACTTATAAAAGAAACTGAAAAATGCATAGAATACAAGAACAAGGATCCTTGAGAGTTGCAGTAAAAGAAAAAATGCACAGTGCATCACATAAAAATCCAGGTTAGATTGCTTAAAATTAATTAGAGATACACATTTCGTAATTAATGGGGTAATATAACTGACTGAACAGATGTCCTTTGGACATTGCAAATATGAAATTTTTCGTACCCATTACCTCGGTGGAAGTCAAGCGCTTCTTTAGTCGGTACAAATCTGTGTTACGACCAAATCATTGATCATTTAATTTTGAAAATTTTAGAATGTATATCTCATTGCTTCTTAGATCAAGATCAAGATGAATAATGTTAAAGTAAAATAAATAAATTAGGTAATAATGTAATTTAAAAAGCGATTTTTAATATTTTTTTGTAATTTTTTTATATTCCATATTTTCATTTTTTTATCACATATACAGCGACTTTTAATTACATATATATTTACACATTTTGGTTTTTTTAATACATAAAAATCTAAGCCCTAGTCATCACATATGAATCTACAGTTATTTGTTATTGAGTTACACCAAAAACACAAAATCAATTATCTCAAAACTAGTGTTGACAAACTAACACTATTAAAAAGTACTGATAATTTTCAATTTTAACCTCTCAAAAGCACCAATTAAATCAAATTTTCTATCAGAAGCCACTCTCAAAATTAAAAATCAAAACTTTTTATACACACAAAAAAAATGTACAACCAATACTACACTGCTCCGCTATAAATCTGAAATTATACTTTTTTAAATATATAATCAATAATAAATATCCCAAAAATAACCAAAATATTTTTAAAATTCTAATATCCAAGGTTATTTCTAAATTGCAACAAATAAATAAAACTTCTTGTTTAAAACTAGTGTTGTATATTTACTTCCAATTATATCCAAATTATTATAAAAATTTATGAGAATTTTCTACTTGTAACCCCCCCCCCCTTAAGAATCAACTAGTCAAATGTACTATCAGAAACCACCTTCAAAGTTGAAGATGTAAAATGTTTATTTCTACAAAATGTGTTGAAAAAACATCACATAATAGTAAAATCAATACCTATCAGCTCAGATTCTACAATTATAATGTGCTTACCTAAAGCATCAAATAGTTTGTCATTTATTCCGATTTTATCTTCTGGATCAGATAATGCCTTCACAAGTTCATTGTTATTTAGTATTGGGTCATAGCTTTTTAGTAGTTTTTTGTATTTTTTATTGGATTTATGCCCATGTATCTTGGCTAATTTCTTGTTACATTTTTTTTCGTCCATCAAATTTATATTGTTTGTTGAATCGCAGTTGTTATTTGAACTATCAAAACAATAAATACTAAATGTTTAGTCATTTGTTGTATTAAAACATCCCTAAATACACAAGTAAACATTTACCTTTTTTGGCTTTTTTCAACTTTGATATGTATTTCCTGAACTATTTGATTCATCATATTATTGGCTGTAGTATAATCACCTTTCATAATCTTTAAACATTTGAAAAATATCTGTAAAAATAGAATGCCTAAAATAATATATTTATAGAGAGAGCAATCATTTTAAACAAATAAAAAAGATGGGAATGTGGGAAGTGGGTTTATCACTCAACAGTGGTAAGCAGTCACTTTGTACGGTCCATCGATTAAAATGCATAACACAGGCACTTAGTAAAGTCAGGTAAATATATGTACAATTTCAGAATGCAGATACTTTGTACTATTATATACATAAAGTATTTAAGTATACATTATTATGTAAATATAATTACATAAGTATATTAGATATAAGATATAACAAATGGTATTTAAACTTAATAACACTTTTAATATAATTGGTCATAATTGGACTTCAGACTTTTATATTATACATACACACTACACAGCTATACCTACTTTATGTTTATGATTTGTGTATTTTATATAGTAATACAAAGTACCACATTCTACAATCTAGAGTTTTATCCAATCCAGTGAGGTACCCAGGATTTAGTAACTACTGTGGGTCTGCCTAACTTATGAGAGGCCACTGGGTAAAACTTAAACCAACAATATATTACAAAATCACAAGGTTACAAAGTTGATTTACCTTATTAGTTAATTATATCAAATTTTGATACCAACATTCAGTACAACTATATGTTATGCTAAAACACAGTTTTAGGTACAATTTAAAACTTACTTATATAATTTAGGTATTATAATTTATTTTTATTTTTATTTTTTGCATTAAAATATATTAACAATCAGCGGCAGGTCCAGAATTTTTTTAACAGAGGACATATTATTTGTATTATAGTAAATTAATTATAAATGGGGTACTAAGTGAATATAAATTTAAAAATACATAAATAAAAAACATATGTTGATGCCTAATAATTACAAATCTAATTGAAGTTTTCTTTTATGTTTTTTGCAAATATGTCCAATACCTCTTCTGGGGTTAACGCTATATCTTTATTAATATGAAGCATTGATAATCCATTGAGTCTATTCTGATTCATTGTAGACCTTAAATAGGTTTTGATTAGTTTCGACCAACTAAAGTCGCTAAAGTGTCTATTTTAACAGGTATAATATATACTACATAGTATCTTTAGAAAGCACTCAATGTTAGAAAACATGGATTCAAATTTAAAGGCTCCTGTAGGAGTATCTGATTTTTCAGATACTTTCTTCCATAAACACAGTTCTCCGCGAAATACTCCAATGCTAGAGGGTAAATCTGATTCATATTTTCCAATATTTCTTCATCAGGTGTATCATATTAAAAATAATATTTTGGAATAATTTTTCTTAAGTTAAAGATGATTTTACACCGATATGAAATATCTCAATAGGTATTTTCTGTAGGAACTCTTAAATTATAAGCCAATATTAAATTGAAAGAACCGATATGACTTCAGCTCTAGTGTCTTAGATATTTCAATCATGCGGTTTTGCGGTTTATACTGCGGTGGTTCGAAAAAATGTATATTTGTGAGGACCAGCGTTGCATCCCTTAAAGTATTTTTCACCGACCAAAGATAAAAACGAAAAAGACTAGTTTATTTATCTTAAGTATTTTTTTATGATACGCAAAAGTAAATTCAAGAAATTTGGTAACCACTCTGCAGTCTGAGTGTACCTCATCATCGAGGAGTCAGACACTGTAACGTATGTGTTAAATTTGAATTCAATAATAAATAGGTAGTTGAGTACAAAAAACGATTCTGAGCAAAGACGGTCTATCAGCCTATAAACGGCCTGTGGCCCTTTAACAAATGTAATGCGACCTGCACTAAAATTAAATTGTTTATTCCAAAATTCAAAACTCTATAAACAATGTATACAATTTTTTTCCCTTAGAGAAGAAATTAAATTAGTTATCTTCAAACAGACGGCCAAATTTCCAGAAATAAATTCATTAGAATTTTGGTACAAACTTGCATTTCTTGCAGATGTAACAAAAAGTTTAAATATACTTCAAACAAATCTGCAAGGAGAAAATAAACTGGTTCCTCACATGCAAGGTTTTTAGATTATAGAGGTTGCCTCATACGGAAATTTCGAAAAAGTAGGAGTGGGAGAACTAGTCCGATGACGTCATTGTAGTATAAATTGTTAACATCGTATACTACAGTATACAATCTACAACTACAGCTATCATTGGTTTTGAGTTTACCGTATTAATTATTTAAATATTTATTTTATTTTTACTATATTTTCATTTATTTTCATTGTTTGTACATTTCATAAGTTTATACGTATTATGGAATCAAAGATATTAAAGCAGAAAGGAGGCTCATGTTGTGCTATTGCTACTTGCATAAATAACTACAGTAAATCAAAA